AATCTTTTTCCCTTGATCCGCCTCTCTCTGGCCATGGGCATGTCACTGCGTGTTGCCAATGCTCTCTCCCGGCTTTCGGCGACCAGCCACGCCAATCCGCGTGGCAAGCGCCGGCTTTACCCAGGACGGTCAAACCGCAGTGGCGTCATTTTGGGGAGCGCGAGGGCACACGACACCGACTCTTCGGGAGCGCGACTGAGAGCGACCAGCAATTGCGCGCTGTTTCGGCCACATATGTATGAGGCAGTATAAGGGCGGTAAAAGGAGGGAAGACAACGCGGAAGTCGCGCTTACATAGTGGCCACAGCAGCGTGCAAGCAACCCGGAAAAGGTGGTGGGCAAGCAGCGCGCAGGCAAGACGCAGGCAAGCAGCAGGCAAGCAGCGGGCCAGCAGCGGGCAAGCAGCGGGCAAGCAGTGAGCAAGCAGTGAGCAAGCACCACGACTTTGCTTGGTATCCCGCATGCTTCCGGGCAATATTCCGGTGCGACGACACCAAAAAAGACGAAGCAGCATACCGGTACGCACCGCCTCAACCAGGGCGGACCGATGCCCACGGGGCGCTCGTAGGGCCGACTTTTAGCTTCTGGTACGATTTCGGTCGACTGACCATCAGGGAACATGGGCCAATGCGGGGAATTCTAATTTTCGAAGATCGCACTCCTTTCGCTTCACTGAAGCCGAGCTAATTCCATCTCGAACGCCATCACCAACGCCATCATCGTGCCTCGCTCCCGCCCTCTACTGTAACCTGGCAAACAGATTCCCAGGCCCAAATCCGCCCCCCCTACCATTCCCTCCATTTCTTCCATATTTCCCTCAGATCTACATGCCACCTCCGTCCACACCTCCTTCACCCCAGAAACCCCTGCGTTGCACCACCCCGTCCCTCGGATAAGCCCTCGGCCCAGCGCATTGTTTCTTTTTCTGCTTTCCAGCTTGATTTCTCTCGTTTTGGAGCCCAGCCGCTGTGTATGGCCTGAACCCTGCTGTTCTTCCTCACAATGGCTGCCAACGGTGTCTTCACGCCTAACATGCGATCTGTTCCCACTGGCGAATTCATCTCTCCGCACAAAAAGACTAATGGTGTTGGTGTCCAGGCCGAGGACACGCGGATATGCGTTATCATGGTTGGATTGCCCGCTCGCGGGAAGAGCCTTATTGCCCAGAAAGGTATTTCCGCTTAAGTGCCCACTTGAACTTTACCTGTGAAACTAATGTAGTGGGTTTGGGATAGTCGTCCGCTACCTCCACTGGCTCTCCATAAAAGCTAAGACTTTCAACGTTGGTCAATATCGGCGCACAGCCACTCCTAATCCTTCCGCTGAGTTCTTCGACACCTCAAACCCCGAAGGTGAACGGCTGCGCAGAGCAGCCGCGGAGGCTGCGGTGAATGACATGTGCAAATGGTTTTCGGAAGGAAAGGGCCTCATTGCTATATTGGATGCGACGAACTCAACCAAGACCAGACGTCGCTGGATACAGGAACGGTGTACGGCAGAGAAGATAGAGACGCTGTTCGTAGAGTCAAAGTGTGATGATGAGGATCTGATTATGAGCAATATTCTCGAAGTCAAAACCACATCTCCGGATTATATAGGTCAAGATCCTGAAGTTGCGGCACAAGACTTCCGCAACCGGATCCGAAACTACGAGAAGGTCTACCAAACCATCGATGAGGATGAGTATGACCTGACCTACGTAAAGTTGATCAACGTAGGCAAGCAGGTCATCATTAATCAGATTCAAGATTACCTTCAAAGCCGCGTTGTGTATTACCTCATGAACCTACACATCAAGCCTCGGTCAATCTGGCTCTCTCGAGTGAGTGCCCTAGCGCTCCCATCTCCTTTGAGAACTCCATCCTGACTAACATCCACAGCACGGTGAATCCAAATACAATCTATTGGGTAAAATTGGTGGTGACGCCGACATATCAGACCGTGGCGAAGCCTATGCACGTGCTCTCCCTGGTCTTGTAGCAAAATCCGTTGGTGACGGCCGCAAGCTGACTGTCTGGACATCAACGCTCAAACGCACAATCCAAACAGCACGCTTCCTAAATTTCGAGAAGCTCGAGTGGAAAGCTTTAGATGAGCTCGATTCCGGCGTTTGTGATGGCCTCACGTACGCCGAGATCGAGGAGAAATATCCCGAAGACTTCAAGCAGCGGGATGAAGACAAGTACAATTACCGATACCTAGGTGGAGAGAGCTACCGGGATGTTGTCATACGCCTAGAACCTATTATCATGGAGTTAGAGCGGTCGGAAAACATCCTCATCGTGACGCACCAGGCAATCCTGCGCTGCATTTACGCGTACTTTATGAATGTACCACAGGAGAGGAGTCCTTGGATGGAAGTCCCTCTGCACACGCTCATCAAACTTACCCCAAAGGCCTATAGCACTCAAGAGGAAAGACTCAAGGCAGATATTCCAGCCGTGAGCACATTCAGAGAGAAGGGTTCAAGCGCAAAACATCAGTGATCAAAGACATTAGATTTAGACGCTGGAAAGATTGTGAAAAACTAGAGTTTGACAGGTGTCGCAAGTGAGTGTATTATTCATTGCACAACTTTTGCTTCATGACATGTTTATAGACTGGAAAAAAATTAAAGAGGCAGGGTGGTCTACCGTGTCACGCGGCATCACGAGAGGCGTATTCTGGGAGTTAGCTATTTATCTGGTCTCTATTACTCGGTCATCCTCTCCTCAACTCTCGCTGTAAATAATGTCGTTTAACAGGATTTGTGTGGGCTTGGAGTTCCGGGCTGCCTAGGATTTCAGTTATTGAATAGAGTTTGATTGAATTCGCAGGCGCTTCACAGCTTCTACACTTCTATACGCGGTAATATATCAATTGCCCGTGCAATGGTTAAAAGTTAGTGGTATTGAAGTCTTTCCAATTCCCGCATACCACTCCTTCGGTTCTAGACTAAAACCAAGGTTAACTTGAATACAGGAAAAAGCTTAAAGATCAAATTTGCGTAATAACAGAGCGCTCTGATATTGCGCTCTGGCATTGCGCTCTGGCAATATGAACCACATTCAGGGGACCAAAAACGATGCGTTGGTATATAGGAGGGCTGTCCCCCCGTTATGATATCTCTTCCCTCATCTACCTGAGAGCACAACGGTGACGAACACGACCACACGCAAGCACCCTCATAATAAATGCTCTATTTCCGCAGCAGCCGGTGATCTCCAGTACTTTCTCTCAATCCGTTTGAACACAGCCAGTCATTAAGAACCTTCAGCGCTTCTATCCCTCGTTTCTGTACTTAATATAACAGGCTGAGGAACTCCTCACACCCTTTTCCTTCCCTCAGGAGCATCGCCTAGATTTATCTGAAGCTTTCCTGTTCATCCTTCCAGTTTAATCTCCGTAGGCGGAACTGCCCAGTACTCTCCATCAAAACATCTTGGAACTTCTTTCAACTACCCAAATCCACCCAGCGGCTCGCTTCCCGGTCTTCGAAAATGTCTACTCTCAGAAACAGCAGTGGTCGAAGCGACAGCACAGCCGCGCCTTTATCTACAATTGGGGCGGTAGAAGACTACCAGGCATGTCTGATCCTCAAATGCATGTCACTCGGCCTCACGCCCTCCGAAATTGAGGCCACAGAAGGGCTCCTGATGCTCGCTGCTGCTACGAACGATCTTGCAAGGCATGCAGAAACAGCGGTCCCAGCCAGGCTCTCTGTAAAAGACAACAGCGCACCGACAGGCAAAGCCAGCAACGCGCCTGGAGCTCACCTGGACGTCAAGCCAGCCCTGCCCTCGAACATCTCGCCCGCCGAACTCGAGGCCTTCCAGCACGGGTGGGACATCCACAATCACAACTACGAAACCAACACGTACGTCGAGGATGCGTGGGCGGCGCAGTACCAACAGCCCGATGCGGCGAGGATGGGCCGCCTGGCTTGCTGCCCAAAAGTGCGTTTGATCCTCCACGGGCCGCAGAAAGGCCGGGAGCCGAAGCTAGGTGTGAGGCCGGACAAGAAGCCCGCCGTGAGGACGCCTCGGGTTCGGCCAGTGTCGAAGCCGGTGCCAAAGCCAGCAGCGAAAGCCCAAAGCAAGTCCAAACGAGCTTCCCAGACGTCACGCAAGCCCGCCTCGAAGGCTCCAGAGGCTAGCGTCGCGCCGTTGGCGCTGCTAGCAGAGCTTGCGACGACGAAGGGCTCTGCGTCTACGGTTTCGCCGCCGCTAGAGCAGCCATCGCTGCCGCCGGTCGGGGGGACGCTGCGCGGTACGAGGGTGAGGGTGCCGTCGAAGCGGAAACAGGAGGCGGATGAGTCGGAGGAGCTCACGAAGCGGCAAAACGGGCTTCAGTGAACTAGGCGGGATGCAGGGCGATGTGTGTGTATGGTCACGAGGCTGAGTCGAGCTGATAATTTAGCGTTGGCGTTCTGGGAGTTTGGATGCTCGGGCTTAAGAGCCATGGGCCTGGAGCTGCTCGAAGATTGAACATGCATAAAAAAGGGTCCAGCTTGGGGCGCTACATTCACCCAAAAGGTTTGGTTTGGTGTGTAATATCACAGAGCTCTTTCTTCTTTTGTTAACGATACCAAATCGCAGCGTTTATATAATAATGTCATATCACTATGTTTCTATTGTTCCATATGAATTTGCTATTGCTTTTAAACACAATCTGAACTCTTGCAAATTCTGCACAGCAGATTTGACAGCCCCTGTATGGATACGTCAGCTTCAAGAGTACGTAAAAGCGCTTTAGACTTATATTAGGCCATCATAACTGTTTGTGGTTTCACAATTGTACGCAACACAAATCCAAATTGGTAAAGGACCGCATCTTGCACTAAAGGCATCCTAGGACATCAATTGCCAAGCCGAGCCTGTTAGCTTCGTGCTCTGGTCCATACCTCCCTGTCTGTCCCCACTAAAGTTCTCAGAACTACGCTGCTACATGCTCGATTATCCCAACCCAACCTTGTTTTTTGTTGAGGATTATATATTGAAATTCTTTGGCTGCTTCTCATTGGTCGCTTAACTCAGTTGGTTAGAGTGTGGTGCTAATAGTCATACAACGACTGTGATACGCCAAAGTCGCGAGTTCGACCCTCGTAGTGACCAAACCTTCTCATCTTACGATGAGATTATTTTTTTGCTGATTTTTTGAAGGCCTGGGAAGCGAACGAAGAACATCGGGTCGGCTGACGACATCATATAAGTTATGTCGGTTCTATAACGGCGATGAGCCTTTTGGCCCGGATAAAGCACTGTTGAACTGGATAAACTTGTTGGAATCAAGAATCAAACGTGCAATGCTTCTCGGGCGAAAACTTTGAAGGAGCCTTGGTTATAAGAGCTGCAATGCTTTATAGAACTGCCCTATACAGTACAAGGAACCTCCTTCGATACGCGATCTTTGTCGAACAGGGTTAACCCCTGTTTTAAGCG